AACACATTATCTCATATTTACCCTCTCCCTCTCCTCATCGGTTCAGAATTTGTCTTTGCAGACGACGAAAGCACCCAGGCTTTTACGACACCACCTCCAAAGGCAACAGATAACAGTGACGTCATCATTTCGACCACAACTTCACAAAGTAAGTAAGCTTGTAATGCTATCGCTGTCAGAAATTTGTGGCAAAACATTTTTATTCTCAAAATTTGTTTATCGGGGAAATCAATGTCCCCCATACTTTTCATAGAGATTGTATCAATTTGTCTCAACTTAATCTTATTTTTCCACAACAACTGAGGCAGTTTTTTAATGTTTTTTTTTTAAATTTTTATTTCGTCATAAATACCGGGTTTCTAAAAAAACAAAAAAAGAGGACCTATTTGAAGAACAATAACTCTGTCATCGTTGGGCTGATCTAAACAAAACTTCACAGAAAGAAGATTCAACCAGGAAGACGTTACATACAATTGTGAATATGAAAAATGTCAACGGACTTGTTCGAAAAATTAAATAGCAAATTTTTAAAATTTACACTAAAATTAAGTGAACCGCAAAATTCATCAACTTCTTGAAAATCAAGCATATTATTTTTATTGTTCTGTTTCAAACAGTCACTGTTTGTGCATTTAAGAACAATATTATACATAACTGTAACTACTCTTGTTCAAGACGCTGTGTCCTTGACAAAGGCACTTTACACAAATTTTCCTCACTTCGTCAAGGTGGGAATGGGTACCCGGCCATAGACTGCGAAAGATCTTGTATCTTAGTGTTTTAGCACCTATAAATGGCTGCTTGAACTGCATACTTTCCAGGAAGTTGAGGTTGTTTCATAATGCTCTCATGTCTACTGGGGTAATAGTATAGATTGTGAAGCGCATAGAGCTTGCTGTCGAGCGGGAATTTGCGCTATATAAATGCTGTCTATTATCATTACTCCAGCCCGGCACGTTTGTCTTTGCCAGCCTGGCACACGAGTTGTTCAGACGTGACCTAATTCTTTTTCTCCCCATCCTTTGTGCAGGTACATCGTGTGCAGACGACTCTGGTTGTCGTGACGTCACCACGGACGTCACGACTGACGTCACAGCAGGCAGCACAATGACGTGAGTGGTCCCAGCCCTTGATTTCGTGAGACGACGTGTTTGTAAAGTCTCTTCCTGTGTCAATACACAAAAATAAGGTCTTATCTTGAAGACAACGGTTTAAAAAGTGCAATTACTAAGTTGTGTTTCATCGTAATGAAATCAGCCTCTCGTCAAAATAACGAAATTGAAGAAACGGACACTCTTCCGCACGTTGAGCGATTTGTTTGGAATTTTGTTTTTTGTTTTTGGACTTTGGAGAGATCCGCAGGAAATATTATAAATACAAGACATTGCAAGACATTTTTTCCGTCGTTGGTCCCAGCAAAATGTTGAATTTTCTGAAGGCCATTGACCTTTATGGCAACTTGTAAAGTGAAGTCGTACTATTAAATTTTTTAATTGTTACTTATAAGAGTTGTTTTAAATCGCAAATATATTTACACCGAATTTTTATATTTTAGCATTTTAAAGTCAAATAGTTAACAAATCGTGCAGTGAACTTTTGCGAAAGTAAACAACTTGTGTTTCGCGCGCTCATATGACCTTACGCAGTTGCGAGCGCCGTAAAACCCTATACTACTACTACTACATTGTTTTGGGGGATTATTTTTAGCTATTTTTTTATTGAACACCTTTTACACCCATTTAAAAACACATTTCGGTGGGGATTTTTACTGAAAAAACGTTGTGCAAAGACACGAGGTTAATTCCTCTCGAGTACGTACTTGTTTCACCCAGTGGGCTCCATTGGTAAAAACAAAGATTTTTCCTCCTATTTTATAGTTTTTGTTTGGGTTTTTTTGCTACATTTTGCTTCTTTCTCTTCTCTTTTCTTTTTCTTTGCGCTCTATTCAAACATTTTCTGTAACTTTATCATTTTTGCAGTTATTTTGCTATTGACGAAATTTCTTTGTCTGTTTATATTGTCATCATTATCAATTAATTGGTCACATTTATTTTATGCATCAGCAAACACCAAGTTGAACCTGAGCTCAGGATTCGAGTACTGAAATACTCACACGAGTATTTCATATTTTCTCGGACTCGAATTCCGATCCAAAATACTTGACTCGTAAACCCCCCTAGTGGGCACTACAGAAATTAATATCTGCATTATTATCAAAATCCACTCATCTTCCGAGTGACCTATCTTCCAGTTGACCGGCGTCTGTGGTTTACTTGTTAGGCATGTCATTGTCACACGCAGGAGACCCGAGTTCGATTCCCGAGTGGGGAGACAATTTTTATCCAGCATCTCGGTCCTTCTGCTGGGATGTTGCGTCCCTCGCAGCCCATGTTGGCCCCTTATAAACGGGATCGGAAACAGCCTCCTTTATTTTATTATGAGGATGGATATCATCCACTAGAGATAAATTGAGGCTTATTAAATTGAAGCTTCATCAGCTTCTGTAGTATCTAATAATAATAGATAATAAATAGCAGTTGTATAGCGCATATCCCCGCTCAACAGCAGGCTTTATGCGCTTTACACTATATTATTACCCCAGCAGACCATAGAACACTCCGAAATATTCTCAGCTTCCCGGGAAACATACAGTGCAGGCAGCTGATTAAGCGCTCAAACACTAACAAACTGACAAGATCTTTCGCTGTCTATAGCCGGGTACCCATTCCCACCTTGGTGAAGTGAGGAAAATTCTTGTAAAGTGCCTTTCCCAGGACACAACGTCGGGTCCCTGAAGGGATTCGAACCAGTGACCTTACAGTTAATTGCGAGTCCGAGAGCCTAACCACTAGGCCACCGACGCCACGTATCTGTCCCACTTTGTACTCAAGCACAAGACCGAAAAGATGGGAACAGAAATAAGCTACACTTTGATCTAAGCCAAATAGCCGAGAACCCATGAAGTCCACCTTTTAAGTGACTTAAATGATGTAAAAAAAAATTATTTGGGGGGAGTGGGGGGAGGGGGGGGGGGAGTGGGGGTAAAAACACCTACATTAAAAGAAAAAATTCAAACAATAGAAAACTCCACTTTGACATGACCTACATTCCAGATGTCCCGAGTGGAGACTGCCGGATGTCTGCCGGCTACAGGACGTCCCAGGTGCGTGTTGTCCGGTCCCCTCATGTCCTCCCGGGTACGTCCTCACAGCTGCTGTCCTGGACCACTGACGTCACAACTGGACCACTGACGTCACAACTGGACCACTGACGTCACAACTGGACCACTGACGTCACACCTGGACCACTGACGTCACAACTGGACCCTGACATTGTAGCCAACCCTAAACCTAACCCAATGGGTGGGTGGTTGGCGGGTGCTCTACTGTTGTTTGCTTCTTTTTTCCTATCAATTATCTGTTCTATCGTCCTTTTCTCTCGTCCTTCTTTTCTTTGAATGTTACTCTCTTGTAACGCTTCTAATCTCCGGCACTTGTGTGACCTATTTGTGTTGCAAGCGCCGTTAAACTCTTACTAAAGCTAACTTTACTCCTATACAATTGAGTTCATCCTGGCAAAACTGTTTACCATATCGCACTTCAATGCATTAATGAACTGACTCCGAATTTCTGTTCGTAAAAAAATCTATGTAATATTGTGTTATATTTGTGAATGTTCGTCACTGTGGTCGCCAGAAACTTCCGAACCACTTAACTTTCGGATTTGCAAAAAAAGTAACATTGATTCAGAATCATTTAAAGGGTGCACGGTTGTATTAAGGATTCTGAAGTCTCGGTAGTTTAATTTTCAGTTTTTCATTAGTTTCGTTTAGATCTAATCTTGGGAAAGTCCATCTTCTAAGACACCATTGTAATCAAGTGAGGCTTCTGTTCACAAGCAGTGCACACTGTTCCCAATGACTTGACGATCGATTCTTTTGAGTGCGTTCATCGAGCGGGTACCCAGCTAGTGGTACCATATTTCCTGTCACTATTTAATTGATGATGGCAACAAGACTAGAGGGCGACCGAGAAAGACCTGGATAGATGGAGTCAGGGAAACATTAACCACCCACGGCATCCCCCTGACCCAAGCTCTCTGGCTGGCGACAGAGAGACGTCTCTTTCTTCCCGCGACACCCAAAAGGGTATAAGCGGCGGATAAAAGTAAAGTAAATTACTTAATTGATTGACACTAGATCAGACATGGGCTAACTACTGCCAGCGGGTCAGATCTGGTCTGAGGTCAGTTTCTCTCTGACCCGCGGGTCGCCTCAGTAATTAATAATGTAAGGAGGGCCGCGGTGAGATGATTATTAACACTGATAATTCAAAACAAAACAAACTGCTCTCCTAGAAAATTAAAATCAAGTTTTTGGCCCAACTAGTAGCAATGGTTAGTATCTCATAAAATGTCCTTGAATTATTTCTTTTTAAAAAATATAAAGTTTGAATGATAGTCTCACCCTTGAGAATTTAGTTATTAATAATGATAATAATAATAATAATAATAATAATAATAATAATAATAATAATAATAATAATAATAATAATAATAATAATAATAATAATAATAATAGTATTGAAAAAATAATTTAAAAAAAATAAAAATAAAAATAATAATGTAGATCATAATTTCAATAGCACCCACTCCCTAGTGAACACAACTCTAGGCGCTTTAATTTACATAAATGCATATACGATAAAAGCTTTCGTTCACTTTTCTCTCGAGATATTCGGAATTGTTGAATTAGTCACTTTCGGCGGCTTCCAAAAATCTTGACCTACTCCAAAAGTGTGCATTTACCTACCTATCGGAGAAGTTCGGTTTCATTGGTGTGTACATTTGTTTGATTATCGAGAAAACTCTCCTTGCCTTTAAAGAAACTGAACAAGGGTCCAAGAACTTTAACTTTGATTTTCTCAAAACAACATTTTTCTGTATAGCCCCCTTGTACTTAAAAGCGACCAAATTACTTTTCGACAATTGCCAAAAACAAGCTTCTTTTATCGGGAGTTCATTTTTTAGATAAAGAACTCTATAAATAGGCTCACTTGTTTTGATTTAATTACCAATTTAGTGACGTTTACGTCAGTTTTTGATTCAGTACCACAGAAGGGACCAGACATAGTGGGTTTATCCCCCCCCCCCCCCCACACACGGAAATAAAGAGTTAATTTACCTCAATGCATGTACGAACAGCTGATTTCGTTCACTTTTCCCCCCTGCTTTGGCCCTCGAGATATTCGGACTTACTTACCAACTACCCATTACGACATCTGGCGTTAAGGGCAGCAACAAAGGATCTCCAGCTCTGTCTGTTTTGGGCCATCTTGGTCAGCGTCCACCACGAATGGTTCCAGGACTTCATTTCAGACTCTACTGTGCGTCTCCAGGTCACCTTGGGTCTGCCCCTATTGCGATGTCCTTCGGGTGTCAAGTGGAGTGCTGTCTTCACAAGAGTATCTTAACTCTTTACCTTTGCCTTTCCTTTGTAAAGATATTCGGAACAGCTCAATTCAACCGGCACTGCTCAAGACTTCCACTGACAACCAAGCTCGCCCTAACCATAACCTCACATCAATACATGTACTGCAATCAGTTAACATTCCAACCATTATCATTGTTATTATCATTAGTATTATAATAATTATTATTATTATCATTATTATTATTATTGTTGTTATTATTATAATAATAATAATAATAATTATTATTATTACATCATCATCATTATTATTATTATGATGATATTGATGTTGATTATTATTATTATTGTTGTTGTTGTTGTTGTTGTTGTTGTTATTGTTTTTTATTCTTGTTGTTACTTTTATTATTATCATTACTCTAACAAGAAAGCTTACCATACCTCACTTCAATCAATACAGAATCAGTTGAACTAAGTTTTATCATGATAAAGAAAAGTGATCATTGCCTGCTTAGAATACAGAGGGAAGCAATAATCAGATATTGTATCCTGACTCGGGGAGTGATCTTCATAATAATAATAATAATAAAAAGCATTTGTATGGCGCATATCCCCGCTCAACAGCAGGCTCTATGCGCTTTACACTATATTCATGACTTAGATCTAGTATAATCATTATTCTGACCTGACGAAAAGAAGGTATTTTCATCTTGCTGAGAAGACGGGAATGTTTATCGTTTTGGTTCTGACACAGAGAAGTTGTCAGAAAAATATAATTCTTCTGACACAGAGAACTGCTATTGTTCTGGACCGCGTAGATAGAGTAGCATCCTGTTTCATAATAATTTACTGCTCCATTTATACATACACGCACACTCTCTTTAAAACACACACACACACACACACACACACACACACACACACACACTCACACACACACACTTACACACACACTCACACACACACTCACACGAGCCCCCACGAGAACGCATACACACGCACACACACACATACACACATGCACACACAAGAGCACATACAAGCACACACAAACACACACACTTACACACATATACACACACACACAGACACACACACACACACACAAACATACACATACACAAACACAAACACACGAGTACACACTCACAAATAAAAAGCTTCACATACAATATTATAGGCCTACAAATATGTGGTGTGCCCATAAGGTATTATTAATGAAAATAATATTGGTAAGGTGATCTTGCTGGTACCATTATTACTAATGAAGTTTGTCTTTAGATTTTTTTTGTTGATCTTGGTTATTGGCTGCCATAGAAAATTACAAAGTTCTAATCTGGTCATGACCTAGTTTTGATAAATTTGACGTCAACAATTTTGAGTCTCACAACACGTCAAGCTTTTTCAAATTCAGTTCTTTGGAATTCAAGATCACGACTCCGAACAATCTTACGATTTTGATAGAGCAGATAGGACATACTTAATAGGTTTCTGATCTCACAGTCTTAGTAACTCTATACAGCCAAAAATGTCAGATAGAACTGTGTACTTCCATAGAACTTGATAAATCCAATGTAGTGTTGTGTTGTTATCCTCGGTTGTGATTACTACTGTACAACTTGTGAATCACGAATGCAAAATAACCACGAGAACTGCGAGATGGCTTTTGGTGGTGACGGACATAACTGTTTTCTAAACTCTTTTTCGTTTTATATTTGTTTTTGGTTTTTTGGTGTTTTTTTTGTAAGTGTTTTACGGCACTCTCAACTGCATGAGGTCATATGAGCGCGCGGGAAACACCACACATTTTCAGTTGGTAGAAATTTTTTATTTTACCCGGGTAGCGGCAGAAACCTGCTTTTATCTTTTGTGGACCATTACGGCATCCTTAACGTGCGCAACTTGAACACGGGACCTCCGAGATTTTTCGCCCTTATCAGAGAAGGCTAGGTATAGATATTGCCTATCATAAGATCAGGGGTGTGACCGAAAGACAACAGTAAGAAGGGGCCAAGGAGTGGCAGTAGAAAGGCTGTAGAAAGAGTCGGGAGCCCAGAGGAGGGGCCAAAGGAGGTGAAGGGGTGGTGGAAGAAAGTGGAGATGAAATCAGAGTACAGAACATTTTTAGAAAGCAGGAAAGGGTGTGAAAGGAGAACATTTTAGAGAAGCCATGCCATTTCAGCATTTAACCAGAACACTCGTCCTCAGTAAGTCAACTCTTTAAGACGTTTACTGACATATTCCTCTCCTCCCATTCACATGTAGCAGATCAAAGCCAATGCTGCCGCACACGTCCACCCATCACACACACACACAAACACACACACACACACACACACACACACACACACACACACACACACACACACACACACATACACATACACACACACACACACACACATCAGACACACGAATGTCCATACTTCATAGTGTACAGTAATACCATGTCGTAGTCTGACTTTCTAAATTTCAAACTGAAATACAAAACAAAACAAAGCTAAACCAAAAGGAACAAAATGAAAAAGAAAATTGCGCGAATAATGAAAGTGTTCCCACAACACAGAGCTTCTTCACGTGTGTTCTAGAATATAACCAGAACGCGGTTCATAAATTACATGCATTTTTTTATAAACGATATATAATAATGTTTACTGCCAGCATTCACATTGACAATTTCTTTTCATGCATGGCACGAATGTGTATTTCTCATCATTTGTTTTATCTGTCCTTCTCTGTTCTGTCAATTCTATGACCTTCTCGCCTATGAGTAAGTTTCTGTTAGTCTATTCTTTTATTACAACTTTTCTCCTTCATCCTCTACTTCCTTCTCTTCTTCCTGC